TCAACCTGTGGCAAGTTCTCGCAAAGCGCTACAAGGGCAACCCGTGGATCGCAGGATTCAACCCTCTCAATGAGCCCGCCGATGTCGAGTGGACACGGCTCTTGGCCTTCTACGATGGCATCGTTCCTGCCATCCGCGAGATCGACCCGGATCATATCCTCTTCCTCGAGGGCAACACCTTCAGCATGGACTTCTCCGGCTTCACCAAGGTTTTCCCCAACTCCGTGTACGCGGTCCACGACTACTGCGGCTTCGGATTTCCGAACCGCATTGGCAGATACCAGGGTCTGAAGGACCAAGACGCGTATATCCGGCAGATGTACGATCGCAAGGTTGCGTTTATGAAGGAACACAATGTTCCCATCTGGAACGGTAAGCACGCTCTCTGTGCACGCGAATCTTTCCATATGCTGACAGATGTATCTTTTCACAGGCGAGTTCGGTCCGATCTACGAGCGAGAAGAGTACAACCCTGACTGGAAGGTTCACAACGAGGAGAGATACGACATGTTGGACAGACAAATGGCGATCTACACCTCCGAAGGCATTGGTAAGCCGGAACTGGAATCGAACTCCGACAACTATTAGCTGACCCCAATTTTAGCCTGGAGCATCTGGGCTTACAAGGACGTCAACGTCATGGGAATGACTTACCTCTCCCCCGACTCGGCCTGGCTCAAGCTTCTCGGCCCCATGATCCGCAAAAAGCGCGACCTCGCCGTCGACAGCTGGGCCTACGATGACGCGCATCTCCAACCCAACCTCTTCGGCCCGCTTCACAAGTGGTTCGAGGACAACGTCCCTGCGCAGTACAACAAGAAGTACCCGTGGCAGTGGCGCATGCACATGCACGTCTTCCGCGGAATCCGCGGCATCACCATGGCTGAGTACATGATCCCCGAGTGGGCCGACTACTTCAAGGACAAGACCTTTGAGGAGCTTGACGAGTTGGCGGGCAGTTGGAAGTACGAGAACTGCTGTCAGCGAGAGCGATTGAATGAGCTGCTCAAGCTGTATGCGCCCATGACGCCAGAGGATAAGAGGCTGGAGGGCAAGGTGATCCAGCCCGAGGCCGAGAAGAACGGGGACAAGCCCAAAGAGACGGTGTCCGGTGTCGGCGTGTTCGAACTATCGCCGGAAGAAAAGGCGAAGAAGCTTGCGCAGACGAACGGCACGCCCATTGCTGTTGCCTCATGATTGAATTTTTTTTTCGAGGCTACAGGAAAGAAATGCATAAATCGGCGTTGTTTGCATTTGATAGACGAAATTAGAATGAATGAATCTCTTCGCGATGAGCACTCGCAACGTGGTGAAAAATTTGGTTGCTAGCCGTGTATTTTCTATTCATGGGTATCTTTACCTACCATACCTAACTCATCATGGAACGCTACCGCGCTCTTTCCATCTACATCGTCATGTGATTTTTGCAGGATACCTCAAGTCGCTCCAAAACCCCTAGGTGCCACTGAAACTCCGTAACACTGATGCTAAATCTCCTCAAGTTTCGCTTGCCGATGAATATCGCCTGCTCTATATCTGATGGTAGGGCGTCGCGAAAGACGGGACACACCGTTGCCACTCTAAGGATCATTACCATGGTAAACGTGCTGAATGAAGTTAGACTGATGATCAAAATCGAAGCAAATAGAAGAGCTTACACAAGACCACTGGAGAATAGGCCGGTAATACTAATGGCTGGATCAATGTCAAAAACATTGATAAATCCTCGGATTCCTTCCAAGCATAGCCTACAACGGTGAAGAATCGCCTCTTTGCAGGGATGGGTATCAAAATGAGCCATGTTGAGAAGCACATATTCGATGAAAGGCCGGTGAATAATGTACTGCCCGGCGTAGTAGCGTCCTTTGAGTCGCAGGACGTTCCATGGGTTGTTACCCAGCTCTTCGACTCTGATGATGCCTGGTGTCATTGGCGAGCTTGCATTCTCTTGGTCGGTGCGTTTTCGCGGCTGGCTCGTCAAAAGAAAATCTGGCAAGTTGCGGTAGAGTGCTCCATGATAAGACCATAGGTCTTCTGTTACGCGCAGCAGCCAATTTGCGTAGCTATCTCTTGTCATCCGGACCTGATCTTTGCTGTCGTAAATCACGCTGTTGACGCGGTTCAGAAAGCGCCGGATGGCCGCATTGGTGCTGATCTGGAATGCAACTAGTTCTTCCGTTCGATAGAATGTCGATGTTGCCGGGCTGGTAGGATTCGTCTCTGGTGTGGAGAATGCTGCCGCGTGTTCTTGTCGATGCTTGGGCGTCTCGGGGGCAGGGTAAGGCACCACATCCTCGTATCTAGCAATGCCTGATGGGAGGGTGATGGAGACCTCTGAAATGAAGTCACCTTCATAGATGAGCGAGACCCAATACAACCGACGGAAAGCGTCTGAAAATCGTTCTGCGTCATTCGTGCTTGCAATTGCCCTTCTTGCTAGTGCCTCGCACTTTACCGCCGTCGCGTGAACCCAATGAAAGGAGTCTGCCATTCGGCCTTTGGCGCCCTTGTATAGACTTGCCAACATACTGCACTGAGCGGCTTCAAGATTGATCTCCGAGGAGATGAAACCAAGGAGTAAACGAGCCTTCTGCCAGAGCTTCTCGTCAAGTCCTGTGACCTCTTTGAAATATCCAGATCCCAGAGACGGAGGCTCCTGACCACCGTTTCTGCCCGCGGCCTCATTCAAGGAGATTCGATATTCCCCTGTACACACGAAAGACCCCATGCATAGAACAAGGAGAAGGAGACAGTACCTTGCTGGTGAGATGGAGTCAGACTCAAGGGCCGGGGACTTTTCGCATGATACCACTTCGTTGAAAGTTGCGAGTATGTCGTCGAGAGACAGTAGTGGGAAAAATATGTTGACTTCCGCAAAGTACTCATGGATAACCTCGCGGTATCTGTCTGCGGCATCGATGGACACCGGCAGGCTTCGATCCCGGAACAACCTCCAAGACTCTGGGGGAGGGGCTGACCTCGTCTCATCCGAAGATTCCTGGAAGAACATGTCTGTTGCTTCTGTGGATCGTATACCGGCTGGCATTACTGGCCGTGGGGGCATTGGCTCCGAGTCATTCAGCAATTGCTGAACGACTGGCCATTCAAGAACATGATTGGCGCTGGCCGTATGAGATAGTGGAATTTGAATCTGAGCGTCACCTTCGTGTCCTAGTGAAGCGCCCGTGCCTGCGTGCTCGTCGGATGTTTCTGTATCTTGCGTCCTCGGCCCCGGTCCCGGAGTTGTCGGCTGTTGAGCCACTTGAGGCGGCTGTAAATCCACTGAGTATTGAGTTTGATGTGGAGATGGCTGAGCTGAGAAGATTGGCGAGGCGAATAGGCGGTCCTCAAGCATCTGAATTCTCTCCAACAAGATGCGGGTGTTCTGCTCAATGCGTGGTTGATTCGAATCGCGGTAGACACACTCAACGTTTTGCGTCATACACAAGCTGCACTTCGGCTTAGCCGCGTCGCATCGTGTCTTGCGGGCCCGGCAATTCGTGCATGCCTGCCACACCCGGCGCCGTGCCGGGAAGTATTGTGCCGCCGAGAAGGACGATGACGGGCCGGAGGTGTCCATTCTCGGAGTCCGGGAACAGCAGCACAGTCACAGCTTGGTTGGAATCGATGCGGAGTAAGGAGAAGGAAGAAAGTGTCTTTTTCAGTGATTTTACTGGCTCGGCACCAGGTTAAAAGAGACCTGGTCAGGGGCGCCACGTGGAAACCTCCCCCGCCCGACCCCGCTGTCTAGCGTTCTCGGCTCCATGAACAGTCCCGAATACGCCGATGGTCCGTCTTCAGAGCATGAAATCACAAGAGAATTGTTCAATGCGTTCCTTAGATGTTTGTCTTATTGTATCTATATGTCAACGAGTGTAAGAAATAGTTTACATTTTCTATTGCAGCCGATGCTTACATGATCTGAATGAGTGATACTCATCAACTCCTGAGGAAGCTTTCATTTTCAAATCATGTTCAGAGAAGTGATTGCAGGGTGTTCACCTGGGGTACGGAATTGAATGAGAATATCCATAAATAGAAGAGAAGAGCCAAACAAAGACAAGAGAAGACGTAACAGTAACTAAGGTACAAATCAAGCCCCAAAATGAACGTGCGATGCCCATATACGCAGCTCTCCACTATTACGGACTTCCATGGACCATTACAGCCTTTCGTAACGCCTCTGCGACTGCTCGGTCGGTGGCCTGGCCATTGCTGCCGCTCAGCGACGCGTAGAATAGCTTCGCGACTTTGACGGAGTTTTCATCGTCAACCGACCCAAGAGACCCGGTGACGTGACCAAGACCAACAACTTGGAAGGCACGGACAATGTGGAGTGCTTCGTCTGCAAATCCCCCGGCCTTAAACTCTCCTGTCGAACACGCCAAAAGATACATTGCAAAGCGCACTTGACGCAATGCGGAGATGGCCTCGTCCAGATTGTGCATGTTCTTCTGGATTTATATCTTGCTTCCAGCATGCTGCCAAGGTTGCAACATGATGGATGCTAGCTGCACCACAGACAGTCCACACCTCAGGGCTTTGGAACAATGATCAATGGCTGATTGGGATTTTGACCATGTTACAGAACTGATCAGACTTGTTAGCCAACCATGGATATCTGTATACGGAGTCGAGATACCGAAGACGACCAGAGTTTTGGGCGAAGCTTCTTCGTTGACTTTTGCGTCTCACTTCACATGCAAAGCCTCTAAGTTAGGTAGCTGTACATCATTTCAGTCTGACTCGACAACCTGCGAGATTATAGTGATGGATTGAACAGCCCAAAGCGCATGGCTGGGGACTTTTCAAACTCAAGGGCAGGGTCACGTCGATGTCACTCTCGTCTAGATTCTAAACCTCCTCTCGTAAGTTGTTCAATTGCGAAATAAGCTACGTAGGTAGGCATGATTGCCAAGGTATCACCACGCTGTGGAAGAGACATTTCCGAGATGACCACCATCTTCGATGCGGACTGCAGTTGCAGATACCGCTACCTTTCATGCGCCATAGTGTATGTATGGCCCCCAGACATCGGCATTGTCAGGATGGCGTTTACGAACCTCAATTACGGCGTTCCTCAAAGCCTCTGCAACCAGCCTGTTCGGCGAGACAACCTCTGTTTTGGGTTTGCTCAAAAACTCATAAAAGAGTTGGGCAACTTCGATGGAAACCTCGTCGCTGACTGGCCACATGGAACCAATCACATGACCGAATCCAGCAGCTTGGAAGGCGCTCGTCGCGTGCAGACCCTCGTTCTTCAGGCTGGACGCGCTCACTTCAGCTGTTGAACATGCGGATAAATAAGCGATCCAAGCCCGCGTTTGAACTTTCGCGGCCATGAGCGACTTGACTGTAAGCTTGTCCAAGTCTTGATCGGAAGTTTGCAGTAACAAGTGACTCTGCAATGGATCGAGAGGATCAGAGGTGCCGTGACACGCGAAGTGCACAATCTGCGCGTCTTGCATACCATCCAAAACTTGACGGGCGTTGGGCTTTTCAAGTTCCGTGATGTTGTATGTGCCATCTACGGCAGTCTTGATCGCACGAAGCTCACGTGTTACGCCAGGAAGAGGCGTCCCACCGGGCGTGCTGGGCATAGTGACCACCAAAAGGTTGTATGGGTCGACGCGGTCCTGTTCCTGTCCCCTCAAAGCGCGATTTCGAGCGTTCTGCAGAGCCTTGATGGTCGACGTGTACGACGAAATAGTCAGGTCGAGAGTGCTGCCAGGAGCTTCCGCGTTGGAACTTGTGGCCGCATGAAACGGAAGGCTGCTGGCATGTCCGGTTCCAATCCACCACATACGCGGCAGGTCGGCGTCGCTGGGCTTTTGACCGAGATCTTTCGTGATCTGCTTGAGAATAGGATGGACGCAAGCAGACCACAGCCACCCCAGTGCCACATCGTTCAATCTTGGAGCACGTTCTGGTTTGATGTCTCGCTGACCCCTCTGCTCTTCCGTTCCATTTCCAGTGCCCCTAACCATCCAACTGGATGACATTTCGGGAATCTCCACAGCCTTGAAGCAATTTTTGGTGATGATGATAGCGTCTGCTCCACACCTGGACGTGTTGACGACAACTATTGGGCCTTCACAAGCGGCATATTGCAATTCCTCCAGAGAGGGCGGCAGCAAAAACCTTTCGAAGCCTTCAATCTGACGAATCTTCGATTCACAGACGTCCATCTCTTGATATATAGGCTCCAAGTCGGTGCTTGCAATAGAAGCCCTGTCGCGCAGGCATTCGTATTCCTGCGCCAAGGAGAAGTCTCGCATTCTCAGGTCCGACAGATCGCTCTGCTCATCAATGAGATAACCAAGAACCAGGCCACGGCCGTACTCGATATGCTGGAGGGCCTTTTCAACCTTTCCTAACCGTAATAAGATTGAACAGGCGTCTGCGGATACCTCAGAAATGTTGCGAAGTGCGTGTACTTGATCATCTTGGCTGAGCTTTCGGGAGCAGGCTCGTGGTATGAGATTGACAGCAACGTCTGCTATCCTCTCAGCGTCAGCCCAATCGTTTCGTTCGGCTAGAATGCCCATTGCACGACGCGCGCAATTGATTCTCACGATCGGCTCGCCAGATTGAAGATGGCATCCAGTTCTGAAGCTGTTGAGAGCCGCGTCGATGTCGTCAAGCCTCCCCGTTTCTGTTGCTCGGTCTTGGAGTGAGCTGCCCAAGTTGGAGTGAGCTCTAGCTAGTTCTGGATGAGAATCCGCCAGAGTTGTCACAGCCAACCTCCCTTGCTCAACGGCCATATCCAAATGAGCCACCTCTCCTGTTATTTCATAACGTTGGTGTCGAAGCTGTGCCATACTGTACAGGCAGGAAGCCTTCACGCTTTGGTTTGCTTGTGTGAAGGGCGTCTCGAGCGCCTCTTCGTACTTTGAGATTGCCTCTTCAAGATGTGTCAAAAGTCTCGTCCGCTGGAAGCGACGGGATAAGCTGCTTCCCAAGTTGAGAAGCTTGATAGCCCGTTCTTGAGACGCTTGTGTTGTACGGTTGATGGAATCTTCCAGCATGGCAATGGCCTTATCGTTGTCGGGGATTCGTCGTTTGCGGTCATATCGTATATTGTACATGGTGGACAGAGCATCGACGTTTCGTAGGCGTAAAAAGTGATCATCGGGCAGAGCATCACTGGCATCTTCGTAGATTGAGATGGCTTCATCAAGCTCAGCCGCATTTCCAGTCCTCAAGGCCCGGTTAGTTAACGTCCCACACCTACTTCCAGACCACCCCCACATCCAGACCACCTACTTTTAATACCCTCACATTTATACACATTAACTTTAACTAATATTTATATATATTATAATACTATAACGATATAACTTTCACTATTACTAAGGTTTTTAGACTTATTAGATTTATCTATACTACTTTTAAGTTTACTTACTTTAATTTAAGCTTTCTAAATAGCTTTAATATTAATAAACTTTAAATTTAAGCTTATTTTAACCTTCTTCTATTTCTTAGCTTTACTAATATTAACTTCTATTTATAGTATTTTAATCTTTTACTAAACTACTACTAATTAGTATATTTTTTTATTAAAGCTTTTTTAAACTTTTTAAAAAAATAAATACTATATATGCTTATTATTATTTAGCTTATTAAATAGGTTAAACTAATCTTAAAACTTATCCCTCTTCTTAGGAGTTAATTAAAAGATTACTAATATATTTACTACTTATTTTTTATTTTTTTTACTATTAGAGAGCTTTTTATAAACTTAACTAATTAGTTTAATAGGAGTTAAAATATTTTTAAGTAATAAAAAGCTTATAAAAGGTTTAGCTATACTAATAAGCTATAAACTAATCTATTTCTAATTACTAATAATATTCTTATTTATTAGAGCTACTTTATATACTTTACTATAGTATATAATAAAATTTCTCTTATTTATAACTATATTAATATCCTATTTAATTAGTAATTTAAGCTTCTTTTTATATACTACTTTAAAGAGCTTAAAAACTAATTAATTAAGTAGCTAAAAGATATATAATATATATATTAGTAAAAATAGTAAGTATATCTTATTTTTAAAATATATATATATAAAAGTAATAATTTTATAGCTTTTATAACTATTTAAAATTAATAATCTAACCTCTAAGAGGTCTTTTAGCTAAATTAAAAAACAAAAACCTCTATTAACTACTTAATAGCTATAAAGTCTAAAGTTTACTTATTTTCTATAGCTATAAACTTTTAAGATTTATATAGTATTAAATCTAAAGAGAATTATTATTACTAAATATTCTTACTTTTATATATAATAAGTAAAAGTAATATTTTATTAGTTATAAAGATATATTTAATTAGAGATATTTAAATATATAATCTAAACTATTTCTTATAAATAGAATAAATTTCTAATAATCTAAGAATAAACCTATTTAATCCTCTACTTTTTAAAATATTAATCTTATTTATATTATATTAATTAGAAACTTTAATAACTATAATCTTAAATATAGTAAAATACTTAAACTATTATTTAATTATATTAGTTAAAGCTCTATTAATATACTAAGAATTAATTACTCTATTTTTTTAAACTTTTATAAATAGGTTTCTCTTAATAAAAACTTATACTTAGTTCTTTCTAAGAAATTAAGAATCTCTATAAACTTATAAAATATATTTAGTAAAATCTTTAAGTTATTAATAAATTAGAAATAAACCTAAAATAGCTTAAATTTAAACCTATTTAGCTAAATAGCTTTCTTAAGTTAGAGAAAGCTTTTATAGATTAAAAAAAATAATATCTTATAGCTAAACCCCTTAAATTTAATATAATAAAATAATTTTTAGTATACTATACTATAATAAAGCTTTTTATAAGCTAATATTAGTTATAATAGCTTTAAATACTTAAGAAACTTTATTTTTAATATAATTAACTATTATATAGTTATTATACTTTATAGAAAGTTTAGTAATAATTAAGTTAAAAATAGTGAAGTTATTTAAGTTTAGAAGTAGTAGTATATATTTTCGATGAGGCATTTTAGGGTGGTCCGTATATAGGGGTGGTCCGGAAGTAGGTGTGGGACGTTAACTAGCGGGCCAACTGGATGAATGCTCTATTCCAGTCTTCATGCTCTCGGTTGAGAAGGCTCACCAGACGTCTTCTAGTGGGGACAGCTTCGTTCATGCTGCTTTCGTCTCCGGTACGATTAAAATAGTCATGGAGACAAGCGGTGAGAATGTCGAGTGCGGTCCGTTTCTGCGTCTCACTTTGGGATAGTTGGAGAGCTTCTCTCAATTGCGTTATTCCGTTTTCGAGGTCCCCAACATTCTGGTGATCGTGGTGAGACCGTTGCCTGAGCATCATCCCTAACAAGGTACGGAGGTCTGCCTGGTTTTCCATGGTTGTAAAAACCGGGATCATGCTCGTGATGATGTTGATAGTTTCCTCAACCTCTTTGCTGACATCCAACTCCTCATTGTGATTGAAGAGACAACAACAAAGGGACTGCAGTGCACCTATAGGTTCCATGTTGTTTTTCATCCTAAGATCAAGTCCTTCCTTGGCAAAGAAGATGCCTTCTTTAGCATCTTGTACTTCACCAAGGCGGCTGAACCTAATCCCGAACATCTCTGCCAATTCCAACGAAGCCGAAGCTCGCTTCACAGAGTTCTGGCCCAGAGAGATCCTCTCATTCTTGGTCTGCCGGATTGCCTCATCGAGATCATCGATGTTTCTGGAGCGATCAAAGCGACGCAAATGAACAATCGAAGGGCGATTTCCATCTTCATAGATGTTGGTGGGCGGGGGCGGCATGCTAGACCGCTGAGTGAAGTAAGATGATGCCTTCACGATATCCACATAATCCAGTGTGTAGCGAAATCGTTCCTTGTAAATCGACTCAAGTGATCTATGCAGCCCATACTGCATGGGATGGTCGACTCTCATCGTCCTTTTCGATTCCAGCAGCTGGGATAAGGATTCCTCCAGATCCTGCGGACTCGACCTCAAATGAGAAAGCCGAAACAGTATCTCAGAAATGGTGTAGCAGAACAAGGGATAGTAGAACTCGTCCTCCTTCTGGCAGTCAGCTGCATCCTTGGCATACTGCAGGGCTGCTTCTAGGTCATCTTCGTCTTGTTGAGATTTCCCACGCCAAAGCAAGATTTGTGCCAGGTTGTACCATAACATAGGGAAATGTGGCGAGGAATCCGAAAGCAGCGTGGTCGTCTGGAGTCCCCTTTCCAGAGCAGCCTCTAGACTCTCCGGCGTTCGTAATTGGTCCCACTGTAGAAAGACCATGCGAGAAAGAGTCGCAGCCATTTCATCCCGCTCAGCAGGATCCAGGATGTCGGCCTTCTCGACAGCTGTGGTGGCTTGGAAAATGGCAGCGGAAAGCTCATCGGCCGCCTTTCCATACCCCTGGTATTTCTCAAGAAGTGACTGAGCGAGCTTGTAGTGCAACCTGGGGTTCTCGGGATCGTCGCATGCGACTGCGCTGACTTTCACTTGCAGACTGATGATATCATCGTCTACCGCGCTGCCAATATCCGCAATGCATGACATTTTGGAGGTTCGATAAGGGGGGCTTGGGTTGTTGATAGGGCGGCTCAATTTCGTTTGTGTGGGCAAAGGTTCCCAAAGAATGTACTGATTCTATGATATATAGGGCTCTTGCTTGCCTGGAATATTATAGGTGCGTTCAGGTGACTCAAGCCGCCAGGCCCATTGCTATCTACTAGTATCTGCGCATATTGTTCTCTCAGCTCTGTGGTCTCGTAAAGCTACAGGCAAATGCAAGAGGACACTTCCCAATCGCAGTCTGACTGTCGATCAGTCGACATGTCACATGGAACCCGATCTGCTGGTCTTTTCAGGCATGACGACGTTCGTTAGGCTTTGAGTCACTGTTGATCACACCGTTCTCGGCCGCAATAGCGGCTTTCTGTTATTGCGGCTGAGTAGCAACTTGGCATCAGCTGCGAATGAGTATCCAGAACATGGATCTTGCGCCCTCACGTGCACAAATCCTTCAGGTAGCTCTAGCCCGCAGAGGAGCAACAGGGGCGCATGGTTCAGTCACTGGAATGGACAACGCTTTCTGATCGGACAGAACTGTGGGAACCAAGACCACAGACTTTCATGTGATTTTCTCTTTCGGCTCTATCCACCTCTATGCTGTGGGGTATCAGGATCTCATCGGACAACAACCAATGGCCGGTATTCGTACTATGCAGAAGAGCGCAGAAATCCCTCAATGACAGGGGTTGCAGGGTAAGTACTAGGTAGACAATCAATTGAGGGTATCGATGCCGCGTCTAGCGCGCCTGCTGGACATCGGAATGCACCACAACCGAAGATGAATACTTGCTTCCCAAAACAGGTTGAATTTAGAAGCTGAGATGCTTGGCGCTGTCAGTTCGCACAGTCGCAGCCAGTCGCGTTGTGGAGAGACATCAAGGGAGCAGGAGGGGAAAGGATTGACCAGCAGGATGAAGGATTCCAGGTTATCGAAAACTCAAAAAATTGAACCCCTGCCTGGGTGGGGTGAATATTGGCAACTCGTCTGAATCGGCTCGCTTGCGAATGGTGCGGTTGTGTTGAAACTTGAGAGAGATGGATCACAATAGCGCCAATTGAAAGTATTGATGCCTGACCCGTGACGCGGAAGACATCAACCAGTGGCGGAGGGTTCACGTGTCAATGAGGCTGCAATCAGGAGAAGGCTCTTCGAAGGTCAGTCGCCTCAGTATTAGGATCGCGTAAAATAGAGACTAGGGAGAAGTCCTTCGGGAACGCCGTGTAGCAGGGTACTAGTGCTTAGCAGATGCCTCCAATTTGCCTTGTAAGGGCCGGTCTGCGTGCAAATCACTCTTTGTGAGAAGTCATATGTGTGCTGTGATTACAAGACCAAAATGATATTGTTGATGGTCGTTGGACCGAATTCAACGAGAACTAGCGAAACCACAACCAGATACAGAGCCTCAGACAAGCTAGTAATGCAACGCTACTGAGCTTATGTATGGACCTGCCAAGCTTGCAGATATCTAGTATGCAAGTGGTATGGTCTCCGCAGAGTTCGGTAAGATCGCTTGATCCTTCGTTAAAATCAGGATTGGTCATCCCGAACATAAAAGCGATGCTCGTATCTGAGAATTCCATTCAAGTCCCATGAATAGCCTGGTGAACACGCGATCCTCACCCGCTCGCTGTCATACTCTCCGCACTCCGATTTATCCCGCTAGCCTCTTGCAAGTATTGAAGATGACTGCAGCAAGGCGGGCTCTGTTGATCGCCAGCCCGTTCGGGGCCCTCCGCGGCCCGCTTAACGATGTAGGGAATATGGCATTTGTTCTCAGCCAACAGGGTTTCGATATCCCCATGCTGTGTGGTGATGTTGCTACCCGAGCAGGTATCCTCGGGGAGTGGGGACGCATCGTGAAAGTCTCGCGGCCAAACGATCATCTACTATTCCGGCCACAGCGGGATCGTCGAAGAGGATATTAATAAACCAGGCGTCGACAAAGAAGCTAGCTCCACCGAGCACCAATAATGGCATTATCATTTCTTTGAACTAATGTGCTTCCTGCTTCGAAACCATGCCGCGGCTGGTGCGGCCTCTTCCTTCAACGGCATTCTGGATGTGGGGCTGGAACGATTGTTGCGCTTCACCACCAATCGCACCAAAAACGTCACCACTATATTTGACTGTTGTCACTCTGGCCGCATGGCTCGTGATCCATCCCATGCTGGAGCCGTGCCCCGCAACATTCCCGAAGTGCCTGACGCCGCCGTCTCATTTGCTAAGTCTAACCTGCAACAGACCTGAGAAGCTCCAACACGCGTTAGATATCACCTTCAGCGTTATGAAAAACAGACGGGCTGGACAGCGAAGGCAAACTCATTGAGGGCGAACGCGTCTACATCTCTTTTGGAGACAACAACGTCAAGACAGTATACGTGTTTGTACTTGAAGTCAACGTCAGAGGCACCATTTCGATTATCCCGAGCCTTGAGGTTCCCACTCTGGGGCTGGCCAGTTCCGGGCTCTCCCGCAAGGTCAGGGCCTACCTCTGAGTTGACCCACGGGTATCTCAAAGGGGCAATCAGTCTTTAAAATTTTGTATTTATCCTTACAGATTCATCTGTTGATCTCAGCATATTTTCAAGTAGTGCTTGAGCTGACAGTCGTGGAGATGTTGGTCCTTCCTCTCTTGAGCAGCTGAGCTTCTGTCTCGCGCATTGTGACTTGGGTAGTGGGCGTGTACGGGTGCCTCTCCGCCTCGACATCTTGCAGGTGTCATTCGAAGTAGAATCTCGAGAGGCAGCAAAATTCTTTTAGACGGTTTTTGTGTTGAATGTGTCGGCGTTGGGTCGCGATGCCGCAGAGAAGGAAACCCGCACCTGGCCGGGGGCACATCCGACATACGTTTCCGTCCTAAGTTGACACTAAATGTCACATACCATCTTACAGGCATTATTGTTCGGTTCTAATTGAGAGACTGAAGCCAAAGTAAAATGGATTGCTTGTTATCCTCAAGCTTAGTATGTTCAGATTGCGCGAGGATGACTATCGGAGGCCTTCCTTTTTGCTTGCCGAGACTCTGACGCACGATGTGAAGCCGTTGAGATCCGTTGAGGGGTCACTTTGCTGTGCTAATTTCGACGCACAAGTGGTGGTGTATTAAACGACTAGGTACTTTACCTTCGAAAAAGAAGTAACTGACCTAAGATACCAATAACCAACCGGTCGCACAGGCCAATACGTGGAATTGCCCGCTATCGCAAAGGATTTCACCACAAGGGCTATCATGTTTCTTTTCCAACTGTTTCATAAACCATGACTAACGTGACTTACATGCTTCAGTATAGAAGGACGAGGTCTATTTGAAGTCGCGTATCGAACAACAAACAATCTTCAAACCGCCAAGCTAGGTGTATCTTGAGGGTGCAATGTTATTTACCGTAAGTAAGCCAATGGCAAACGGCAGGGCATCGTAAGCATGAACAACTATTGAGCAGCTGTTTTGTTTCTTGAGTGACGATCACGCTGAACATCATTCCATTTTGAAAATCGTAGGGCTGCGTGATGCGGGGGATGCCTGACTCGTTTGCTAACGAAGTTTCACCTGATGTGCGCTGTGTCAACAGCGATGCCATCCAAACTTCTGGCGTCGCAGACTGCACCTTCTCGAGGAATGTGGGAAACACCGGGATAGATTCCGGGCGGGAAGACGGCTGCGATGTAAGGTTAAATCTTTCGGGTACCTGGGCATCTTTGCTCATAAAAGGCGAGAAGACCACCCGCAAAGATACGCCATATTTTGAACTGATCACCAGTCTTCCATTCTTTAGTGCCGAGCACAGATTATTCGACTTTCCCATCTTTTCTCTTACGGCGCCACTCCTTAGCCGACCTTTCCTTCTTACTCTCTCCTTAATCCACACTGATCTGAGTCCTGACTTTCAACGAGTTTCCAAACATGAGGGTTCTCAACGCCACTCTTTTAGTCCTTTGCTCTGCGCTTGGCGTCCTTGCGAGTAAGTCATGTTACCAAACGCCTACTTACCTGGATAGAACATGGTTGACAGGAATTACCTTCAATTAGCACCTCAGGGAAAGAGCGTCAAAGGACAAGCTTGCACAAATGGACAATTCAGTGGAGTTTGCGGTGCCGACGGCCGGTGCGGACTAAACATCCCGCCGAACGAGCTGTCACGTCAATTCGTTGCTGGTCAATGCGGCCGATGAATAGTCACTCTCTTCATTCATAACTCTTCTTATACAATTCAATAATCAACGAGCATATTGTCTTGGAAAATTAGCTTTGTTCAAGAGAACTTCTTGCTTCCTCATCTAATGCACCATACTTCAACGAGGCACCTTGTGGCCGATGTCATGCCAACTTCTATTCTTCAGGCCGATCCTTAAACATCTAGTTGTCCTACAACTAGTTCAGTTCCTCCAGTGAGCCACATAATTCAATGTCAATGTTGTCATCCGAGTAGATCGAGAAGCATGCCCCGTGAATATGAAACAATCTCGCCGAAAAGTTCCCCAAACAGAATCACCAGGGAATATTTTAGCTCCTCTCACGGGGACCCTATGTCAGGGGCTAAGCTTGATGTTACGAGCTTGGACTGATTTCTTGGACACATTTCCCCTGTATTAATATGGCGACTTATATCACACTTGCGTCTGCCCGATAACAACGACGCTACTGACATTATACTGTATGTGGTCGCCTGGTCACTTACGTGTCTAAGCTGTAAAGCAACAGATCTTCAGATCATCTACAACCATAACATTGATACCAATTTCTGACTTAAGTTCCCGGTCTTTGGTTGCCGATTTGATGATACTGGTCGATATAGCATCGAAGACTCAGAACTTGCAGGCGGGGATTCCTGATGTGATTCAAGCTAAATGTGCATTCCCACACATTCTTGTGGACACAATTCCGAGAAAAGAGCAGCGAATGGTTTGAATTATACTACAACTTAAGCTTTGCATGCTATAATTATGTGTGCGGACATGAGGTGGGTTTCTACGTCATGCCGCTTGCCGACAGGGTGATCCCAGCTAAGGTGATTAAGAACCCGAGCTGTCAAGTGTCAGAGAAAGCAACACGTCCGGGAAATCCTTCACGGTAAATGTGTAATTGCTGACTGTTGAGTCGTAACCATTGGACTATGGACTTCCGCGCATTCTCTCCGCCTTTGGTTTCTCCTCGATGTGAGTTAGGGGGGAGGTGCCCTTGCCCGGCAGACACGGGGACTTTCGACGTCACTCACACCCACCTAAGTGGTATTCAGCCCCCACCAGCTGCGTGTACGAAGATGTCTGCCTACCTTTTGAATGCGAGAACAGGACTCACGTAGCAGCGGTACGTGATAGATCAATACCGGCCTCAGTCAGGGTAGAAACCAGCCCTGATTGCAATCAAGACCGAACGGCTCTAGCAGCCAAATCCTCATGAATTCATGAACATCTGACCAAGGCCCAGTTGATCTCACCTATACAGAGTTATGTTAAGATCTTAAGATCATGGTAGAATTGCAGTGAAAAAGGCGCAAAGGCCTGGAGGCAGAATTTTGCTCAGGTGAGTGTGCTCCAACTTCAAGAAGGGTCCTTGCTTTCGTGTTACAGGGGACGGTCCTTGATCTCCCAAAAGGGGCGCTGCACTGACCATTCTGGAGTTGATCTGCAATCGTAACGACAGCGATCGCGGATTGACCCGTCATCTGTCCCAACACTTTCAGAGGCTTTGCATACGAAGACTCTGAAAGAGATTTCATCGAGCATGGTTTCGTAAAGTTTTGATGCCAATCATCAGCTGATGACGACCCTTTGAGGAGGAGAGTCGGAGAGTCACCGTCATTGACGAGCCTCCAGACGACGAGCTGGACGATGGGGTAGCCCCAGAAATCTGACAGGTGTCGTCGTCAGCAATAAATTGCCCGATTGGGGACCAAAGAGTTTAACACTGTAAAATGTCTTCCAAGAAGTCAGCAACACCATTTCTTACAATGCCAATGTCCGATGATCCGACCTACTTTGCCCGTTGATGCAAATTCTTGGTGGACAACTCCGCAGGTGTTGGGCCGAAGGCCTAGATTACGGCGCACAGCAAGCCGGCTTTCCCTGTCTAAGCCGTTTCAATCAAAATTACAGTGCAGGGCATGCAGCGCCTACGCCAACCCTATCCTGGCCCCGAAGCCATACACAACTACCGTTCATTCGCTGGGCGGAAAATCCGCCAAGTTGACAACGTGTTTCAGCTGCCCGAGCCCGCAGAACGGTGCGCTTACCCCTGCAGAATCTACCAGGATCGACGAGATACCAGCGGGGCATTTGCGATGTAGTCGATTATGGGATGAACAAACGTCGAGTCCGCCCTATCAACTAGTTAAGCTGAAGTTTTATAACATCCCACACCCACTTCTCAGCCACCCCCACATTTCAGCTACCTACTTTTAATACCCTTATATTTATATATATTAACTTTAACTAATATTTATATATATTATAATACTATAATAATATAACTTTTACTATTACTAGGGTTTTTAAACTTATTAGATTTATTTATACTATTTTTAAGTTTATTTACTTTAATTTAAGTCTTCTAAATAGTTTTAATATTAATAAACTTTAAATTTAGATTTATTTTAACTTTCTTTTATTTCTTAGCTTTATTAGTATTAACTTCTACTTATAATACTTTAATTTTTTATTAAGCTACTACTAATTAATATACTTTCTTATTAAAGCTTTTCTAAACTTTCTAAAAAAGTAAGTACTATATATATTTATTATTATCTAGCTTACTAAATAAGTTAAACTAATCTTAAAGCTTATTCCTTTTCTTAAAAGTTAACTAAAAGATTACTAATATATTATTACAGTTAGCTATCTAACAGTAAGGTCTGCTAATAGAAGCTAAGGATTAATACGTTCTAACAGTATATTAAGTTATAGTTTAAGTTAAAGATTATAAGCTATAGTAAATTAAGTTTTTAGAGATTAAAGTAATTAGTTTTAAGCTTAATAAGTAATTTATAGTAAAAGTAAGCTAAGAGTATCCTAAAGATAAATACTAAATTAATTACTAAAGAGCTATAAAAATCTAACTATAAACTAAACTTAAGGTTATACTATATATAAATCTAATTCTAAATATATTCTTTTATACTTTAAGTTAATTTAGATTATTCTAATCTAAAATAATTATTTAACCTCTAAGTTATATTAGATTATATTAATCTAATATAATTATTATCTTATTATTATATAACTTAGACTATAGTTCTTCTATTACTAAGTAAGTTCTTATTATTCTTATAATCCTATAGTATAGATATTCTATCCTAGCTGCCTAATACTTAAGTAGGTTAGTTAACTATTATCTATATATAATAGGTTATAATATATATTTATTACTTATTTTTTATTTTCCCTATTATTAGAGAGCTTTTTATAAACTTAACTAACTAGTTTAATAGGGGTTAAAGTATTCTTAAGTATTAGAAAGCTTATAAGGGGTTTAGCTATACTAATAAGCTATAAATTAGTTTATTTCTAGCTACTAATAATATTCTTATTTATTAAAGCTACTTTATATATTTTACTATAGTATATAATAAAATTTCTCTTATTTATAACTATATTAATATCTTATTTAGTTAGTAATTTAAGCTCTTTTTTATATACTACTTTAAGAGGCTTAAAACCTAACTAATTAAGTAGCTAAAAGATATATAATATATATATTAATAAGAATAGTAAGTATATCTTATTCTTAAAGTATATATATATAAAAGTAATGCAATAGAGTAAGAGAGAAAACTTATTAATTATATTAAGTACTCTACTCTAAGTAAAAAACCCCTAAAAATACTTAGATATTTATATATTAATTTTCTAAATAACTATAAGAAATATAAAAGTAAATATATAAATATAAGCTTAACTAAATTATACTTTATCTATATTTTTTACTCTCTTTATACTTTAAATTATATAATCTCTTAAAAAAAAATAAACTACTAAGAAGAAGTTTAATAGTAATATTTTTATAATATTTTACTTTATCTTTATTTTAAATAATTAAAAAAATATAATAAGGACTAAAAAAAGAGATAAAAATAAAGCTAACTAAAGCTAGAAAAGCTTAAAAATACTTATATTTATTTAATTTTTAAAAAATAAAAATTAATAAACTTTTTTTATAAATTAAGCTAAAAAATCTTAAAAGCTTTTCTAAAAAAGTAGTTATTAAAGTTATTAAAGAAAAAATAGGAATTTATATAAAAATAAATATATTTCTTATTTATTTACTTAGTTTTTTTTATTATAAGCTAATTAAACCTCTATTTATTTATATAACTTTTTTCTTCTTATAATAATATTTAATACTTATAAAAATACCTATTTATTTTCTTCTTTTTAAATTAAAATTACTAAAAAATTCTAAATTCTTTACTTTTTTCTATATATCCTTTAAATCTTTTATATATTATAGAAAAAAAAACTTAATTAGCTTTATTTTATATATATAAAGTTATATTTAGCTTTTAAAGTTCTTAAGCTATTAGTTTTACTTTAAATTAAATTCTTAGCTATCTCTTATTCTATATAAGTAATATTTTTATCTTCTTTTTATAGCTTTTTAATATATTATATACTAAATAGTAAGTATTTTTTTAATATAATTAAAAGTAAATAAAAGTTTTAAAGCTTTATCCTCTAAGTAATATCTTTAATTAAGTTATTTTATACTAAAAAGAAGTTATTTAAAGTATAATTACTTAGTTTAATAATATTTCTAAATAAGTTAAGTTTTAGCTTTTATTTCTTAATTTTTACTTAATATATACTTCTTTAAAGATTTTCTATTTTAATTTATTAATTTTACTCCTTTTTAGTATTTTTAATAAAATAATCTCTTTTTTTAATATTATTTTAATAAATTAAAAAGTTTAGATCTCTATCTTTAATAAAGTTATCTAAGTTATAAATAGTTAAAGAAGTAATTAGGTCTTTTTTAGTAATTTAAATTAAATCTTAAATAACTAAAAACTAATTAAAATAAACTAAGTATAGCTTTTTAACCCTTTTTTTAACTTAGTTTATATTAATAGATCTCTAATTTTTATTATTTCTAGCTATAATATCTATAGCGTTTACTTATTTATTATAAGTTTAATTAAGTTTAATTTAAAATCTCTTAATATTATTACTTCTTTATA